TGATGATTTTAAATTAGTATTTGAGTATACTAATTTCTTTAGTAGATATTCAGCGTTTGTTAAGGTGTTTATCAGTGCAATGGATGATAAAAGTTATAAATTATGGCATGGTTTTATAGAATCTAAGATTAGAGTGCTTGCTACTAAGCTTGAAACAATTGGAGATATTGAGGGTGCAATTCCTTTGCCTAAAGCTTTTAAAATTGATAATACAAGTACTTTCTTTATTGGTATAGATGTGTTGAAATTTAAGAATACAACAAGACGTGTGTTTGGTGATATTCCTGTTAGGGAATTTATTGAATTTGTATGTGAATGGAGTGAGAAAAGTTCAGATATGAAAATAGAAATTAACACTGCTAAAAGACATGATATAAAAGAATTTTTAAGAAATTATTTAAAAAAATAAATAGTTTTTTTTAATACTTGAATTAATAAAAATCTTTTTGTCTTTTTTAAAAGTTATTTTTTAAGTATAAAATTAAAAATATTGTAATTAAAATTATTAGTTTTATACTTATATCTATTTATTATGCTTATAATCTTAGTTTTATTTAAAAAATGATTTTCCGATTATATGTTAAATATTAAATTGCTTATATTTTTTTATAGAATAAATGTATATTTTAATAATTAATATTAAAAATATTTTCAATGAAATTAATATTAATTTAATATATTTTTTAATGAAATAAAAATCAATTTATTTATCATAAATGATACTGAAAACGATTTTAATATTAATAGACACACTAAATACAAAAATATTTTTCACAAAAATTTTTATATTAAAGTCTTATCTTTTAAAAAATAACAAAAAGTAATCATTTTTTTGTCAATTTTTTAAATCATTTTAATCTTAAACATTTTTGTGTTTGAATAATCAAAATCTAATACTTTTACTTAAATTATTTTTTAATACTACAAAAGAATATTTTTTAATTTTCAATCAGTAATTTATATTCTAGTTAACAATAAAAATTATTTTTTTAATTAAATAAATTGATTAGATTACTTTTAAATATTTATTAAACAAATATTAAAGATAATTTTATACTGTAATTGTAAGTTTTTAATAATAATTTAACTTTTATTATTTTTATATAAAACACTCAATAATTGTTTAAAGTAAAACATATTATTAGAATTATAATCTTTTATGTTTATTTAAATATATAATTTATAATCATTTAGAATATAAAATTAAAATTAATCATACAAACACTATAAGATTATTCAAATTTTAAAAGAAAGAATATTTTAATAAATAAATTAAAAGTATTTTTTATAGTATAATTTTAAAAAAATATTAATCTTTTACTTTATTCAATTTTAACTCTACAAACAGGACAAATACTTTCCCTATAAGCCCATATCTTTAAACAATTCATATGAAATTTATGTGCACATTTTAACTCTTTAGCAATAACACATTCATCTGTACAAATAGAACACATTTCATTAGTTTCAACATCAGGTAAAGATTCCAACAATCTAGTAGTCTTTAAATAACCGTTATAAGAACGAATCTTGTTTTTAAGAGATAAAAAATCCTCAGCTAATTGTTTAATA